TTTAGATCTTTTGAAGTTCAGACAGTAAGTAACAAACCCATCTTTAGATCTTTGGAAGGTCAGACAGTAAGTGACAAACCCATCTTTAGATCTTTTGAACTTCAGACAGTAAGTAACAAATTCATCTTTAGATCTTTTGAAGTTCAGACAGTAAGTAACAAATTCATCTTTAGATATCTTGAAGTTCAGACGGTAAATAACAAACCTATCTTTAGATCTTTTGAAGTTCAGACTGTAAGTATTTATCTATTTGATAATAATAATCGTCCATACATTTCCATGTTTCAGTCTGAATATCTTTATTCAATATTATAACATTATATACCAGAAGTCCTATATATAAACTCCTACCTCTGTCATCACAACATGTATTTCCTACCAATGTCACTGATTAGCCTATACAACAATAAACATTTACGTATCTGCTTATTTGTTAATTTCCGGTAGAAATTCTTTCCGAGGAACTTCTGCTATACAAGTCCTTTCTTGATTAAACCAGTTCATTCTTTCTCGATACAAGCTTTTAGTACACAGTAATTCCACAGTCAATACGTCTCTCGTCACTTTAAATTTAACAACTTTTATAATACACCCTATAAATCACAGTGATTTACACACTTTACTTACTGTCACTACTGTTCACTTCTTTAATTATCTATCTCTATATATCTATCTATCACTGGCTTCTCTACCAGGCTTATATACTAAAGAAGAGGGCGTCTCAAACGCACTAGGAAATTCATGATCATTCGAGAAACTTCACGTACGCTACCAGCGCAAAATGCACCAGCAGGTCACGTGACTTCCGCTGTCGTAACAGTATAAAAAAAACCCGACAAATTATTATGTTCATATTAACAGTAATTTAACACAAATCGTGTCAAACAGTACAAAACTTCCACAAGATAAATATCAACATTAACTATAAACCTTTATTGTTGTATTGTAAACTTACTTTAATTGATATCTTCATGAATCACTCACCTAAAACTCCGATGGTAATAATGATGTACATGGCCAACTTTTGTGGACACAGATCAATCTCACTTAACGAAACCAAAACCTTTCCCCTCAAGGGACCATTCTGTAATGCTGAAGAGCAGTAGGTTTCGTTTATATCTGAAACCTAGTTCGAAAGAATGTCTTATCACTGTTTATTAAATTATGTGCAAAATTCGTTCATTTCTGAGCCTTAAATAAAAATGTAATTCAGAAAATAAGAACTACTTTGATAATTGTAACAAAAAATTATATTCAAATAGAGTTACTGAAACGTGCAAGGTGTAACGTTAGATTCAAAGTTAAAATGTGTGAAAATCTAAGTTTCAACATGTTACATCGAAACAACTCATTAATTAAATAATGTTTAATTCCATGTGAAAGCTGCAACTAGGAATGATCGAAATCACATCAGACGTTACATCTGAACCGAATGTTACATATGTTACATATGAGGTCAGTTTTAAGTACTGCATGTTGTATCATGAATCATGGTAGTGGTTCATAATAGGAATCGCCTGTTCGTTCTTCTTTATTATTATTTAATATTATTCCGCCAACCTACATCACAAATGGCTGTGACTATTGTAATAAAACTTGGGCAACATTACTAAATGCACCAATGCACACTGTGTAGGGTAGTTTTTAAGTTTATTTGACTACCTAAAAATAACAGTGGCTGTATAACTGTTGATACCCAATCGTTTTAATGTAGTCTGTGGTTTATATGGAGCCTTATAACATACTACATGCATACCTATATAGCTGCGTGCAGGCCATGGATGTAATTTAATGTTTATATGGCAGCCATGACACATATACAATAGCGATTATAACTTATTGTTGCAGCTGTATTGATGTCACATATCATTTGTTTATGTATAGGGTTCCTGCCCTTTTGGACATGATTCTGCTGACAGAATCACAGCTTTTTATACCACTGCATGATAGATATTGGCCATGTTACACAAACGTCTAAACCGTAACACAGACATCTAGGCTGTCTCTCACAACAGAAATATTTAAGCCATATTATAAAAGATAGCACCAAGCTCAGTTTCGAGCATCGCATCGGCAATCACAGTGATGGTTGATGGTTAGTGTAGAATTATAGCCAACACTACCTGATTGCAAATTTTGTAGATACTATAGGTAGAGTAGCCATCTTTGAAGCTGACTACAAGGAATGGCAAGAATTGTGCAAGCAATATGTCATGATATAAAAGACTGTTCGGTTTAGATATTATTGATTAATTTATTTTTGTGAGTGAATATTTTATTAGTGTTTAGTTTCTGTTATAATAAGAGTTAAAAGTAGACGATTGTAGGAAGTTTTGGTAATAATTCATTGATGTTGAGAATATTGAACGTCACATGCAATAAATCGACGTCGAGAATATAGAATATAGAAGGCGGACAGACGATTAAGTAATAAAGATATAAATAGCGTGAGACGAGCGGGAACAGCAGAGAGACAAGTGAGAATAAAGTTGGCGTGAAGTTAACTACTGTAGAAGTGATAGACCTAACGAATAATATAGGCCTAACATTTATTATGTTAGAGTAAAACTAACAGGAGAAAAGGAGACAAGAAAAATAATTTTATTCCGTCAAAGCGTGGTTCTAAAGTAATCGAATCAGCCTGAGTGCACTTTTGACAAAAGAAACGGAGGAGCTTCAGGAGAAAGAAGACGAAACGATTACGGTAACTTGCGCCACAATTGTAAGTGAATCACAAAGAACACTAGTGCGATAGAAATAGAGAAGATAGTTCGGCTTGCCAACTAAAATTCTAAAGTAATTGAATAGGCCTAAGTGGATATTTGACAAAAAGGAGAGAACTACATATACAGTGTTTATGATATGTCCATAATATCTATATTGTTGAAGAATTTGTTGTGTATACATTAACTTGTCCTGAATATATACATTATTTTGAAAACAAGTGAACTGCATGCTGCTTATTTATCGCTGATTATATCGCTAACAAGTCATAGACACCTACTGTAGAAGAATCCTAAGCCTAACATCAAAATAGTATATTAAGAAATATAACTAAAAACGTTTTTATTTTGACAATCGGCGAAAAAATTATAATAAATTGTCAAATTTCTAACACAAGCGATGGCAAAAATGATGGTGATTCTAGGCAAAAGTGAGGCAGAAATTTTGTAGCTATATAATTTATTTAGAAAAGATAACAATGATAACATTGTGTCAACGATATCAGAATTAACAACCATCCAATCTGCATGAAGCCAATCCAAAGGTTCTCGAACAGGCCCCCAATGGCGCAGCGGTATGTCTGCGGACATGAAACCCTAAAGAAACTGAGTTTCTTTACCCGTGGTGGAGAAACCAGAAATAGCCCATTGTGTAGCTTTGTGCTTAACTTCAAACAAATAAACCAATTTTCTCAACAGAGCTTCGTACACCAACTACGTATTTCATTAAGTTAAACTGTTTCAAATAGGACAATATTGTTATTATACTGATTTATGAATTTAAAAACTAAGGAAACAAGATTATTAAAAGTTGTTAATTTAAAAAGAAATTTTCAAAAAGTTACAGAAACTAGAAAGGTAGCTTAAAGTGAAAATGTAATCGTAAACAAACTTTAGGTTTGAGACATATTGTTAACATTATATCCTCAAGATACAAATCCCTATTCTGACTCCATGTCTAAAAGCTGTCATATTTAGGAAGGTGCTTTGTTAGTTATATTCAGTTGCAGTGTATTTATTTTCACCCATCATCATGCTCCAAGTTGAACATAAAACGCTGCCTGGTTAACTAATGAATGAATATTTGCTGTAAAATCCTTATCACTGCTATAAGTGATGCTACCAGTTTGGCCACCAATTTTGATTTTGTTCCTTTAAGTCGCAGACTGTTTCCTTTTCTGGCCGCATCTTTTTTTTTTTCACACCTAAGGTGTTCTTGATTAGATTATACTGTAAGTGTAGTTTTTAACTTTAACCTTTTTGATCTTCTT